TCTCTTATGCTGAAATAATGTCTCCAGAATAGAAATACCAACATCATTACCAATAATACTACTAATAAAAGGATTTTTAAGGGTTTTTTTTTTGGGGGGGTTCCCTTGCATTAAGGGAACGAACAGGTAAGTTGCTCAGCAATAAATTTCCTGAGTATCTGGGTATTTAGCTCAGTGGTTCTGGTGCCTGCCTGGAAAACACAAGAACCTGAGTTCGATCCCCGGTACCAAAAAAAAAAACAAAACAAAAAAACAAAAAAAGAAAATAAATTTCCTGAGTATAATTACTTTCTTTATAGTTAAGCTGCCAACTCAATATTACACTGAGGTTCATTAATTTCATTTTGCTTTTGTTTTTAGTGGTTGTACTTTAATTTTCTTTTATAATCATGTAAGACATTTACATGGTTACAAAGTCAAAAACATAAAAAAGTAGAATCAAAGAAATTTAGCTTCACTTTCTGCCTGCTGTACTCTTCTTATATCATTTTTATAAAGCTTTTAATTTTTCTCTCTACTTAATACTACATGTAAGTATATTTATATTCACCCTCCCCACTTTTTGTGGTTTTGGGGATTGAACCCAGGCTTTTTGTACCAAGCAGCAGCGCTAGCCCTTTTTATTTTTTATTATGAGATAGCATTTTTGCTGTTATCCAAGCTTGGCTTGAGCTTGTGTTCTTCCTTCCTCAGCCTCCCAGAATGCTGGAATTACTGATGTGTGCCACCACACCCAGCTATCCCCTCTTTTTAATTTAAAGATACCAAACTATGTGTTATTTCGTATAATATCACTTATCAGCACGTCCTGAGGATTACTCTGGAGCAATATATAGAGACAGATCTCATACCATTTTATAGTTGCGTAGTACTCCACGATGTAAAAATATAATTTAGTCAAACAGTCCGCTTTTGAAGAATATACAGTTGGTTTTAGGCTTTTACTGTTGCAAGTGACATTACAATAAATAGCCTTATATGTATTTGTTCTGTTTTGCCAATGTATCTAAGTTTAGAATCCTAGAACTAGTATTATTGGGTCAAAGGGTAGGTATTGCCTGTGCTCCTTCATAGGGGTTTTGTTTTGCATCCCCACCAGTAAGGTACATAGTTGTGTGTTTCTTCATGGCCTAAAAATTTAGGTTTTTAGTAATCTGATAAATGTGACTCAGTATCTCACTGTACATGTAATTTGTGTATCTTAGTGTAGTTGAGTGATTTTCCCCTTGCTTATGAGCCATTTGCAGTTCTTTTTCTGTGGATTTTTCATATTTCTTGTCCATTTTTCTATAGGATTGTTGGTCATGTTCTCTACTTTTAGAATATATATGGGATATTAGCTTTGATTCTTTCCTAGTTTTTCATTTGTTTTTTAACTAATTTTTTTCTCAAACTTTATTTTTATGTAAGATTTGCTGATTACTCTTTTTATTCGTGTTTGTACTTTATAGTTTTAAAGATCCGCATTAGCTGTTGTGTTGGGAAGACACAGGGATTGGACTGGGGGAGGCAAAGGCAGAAACAGGAAGGCCAGTTTAATATGAAGTAATAATCCATATCTGTTAGATATAGAGGTGGTTCTGAATATCTTTTGGAGGATCTGTTGATGGGTGTGATGTTGGGTATGAGAGAAGAGTCAAGACACCTCCTAAGTTTTTAGCATGTTAGAATTCAGTTGCCATCAACTGAGGAGGGATTGAAGGTTGGGTAGGTTTGGCAGAAGATCGAGAGTTTGGTTACGAACACTTAAAGTCTGAGGAATGTAGTGAATATCCAAGTGGAGAAGTCAAGTAGAAATTTGGTGAGTCTGTAATTTTAGAGGATATTTAGGGAGAGAAATAATTATTTGGGAACAAAGTGGGAGGTATCACAATCCCAGATTTGAAGTTATATTACAAAGCTACAGTGACAGAAATAGCACGCCACTGTCACAAAAATAAGACATGTTGATCAATGGAACAGAATAGAGGATGCAGACAACCCCAAGCATATTCAACTATTTGATCTTTGACAAAGGCACCAAAACCTTTTCCTAGAGGTAGCCTCTTTAATAAATGGTGCTGGGAAAACTGGCCATCCATATGCCATAGTTTTAATCTAGACCCATATTTTTTTTATCATGTACTAAATTAAAATAAAAATGGATCCAAGATCTAAAAGTTAAAGCTGAAACACTTTTCTTCTGGAAGTCATAGGACTAGGCAAGGACATTCTGAACAGAACACTGGTTGCACAGGAAATAGTACCAACAATGAACAAATGGGATCATATCAAATTAAAAAGCTTCTGCACAGCAAAGGAAACAACCAAAAGAGTAAAGAAATAACCTACAGAATAGAAAAAAACTTTTGCCAGCTATTCTTCAGACAGAAGACTAATATCTAGAACATATAAAGAACTAAAAAACAATTAGAGCCCCTCCCCAAATGAAATACCATATCAAAAAATGGGCAAATAAAATGAGTAGTCACTTCTCTGAGGAAGACTGGATGGCAAATAAATACATGAAAAAATGTTCGACACAATTGGCCATTAAAGAAACACAAATTAAATCAATACTGAGATTCCATCTTACCCCAGAAAGAATGACCATTATAAAAAACCAAATAATAACAATTGCTGGCGAGCCATTAAGGGGAAAAAGAAACCTTCTACATTGTTGGTAGGAATGTAAACTAGTAAAACCACTATGGAAATCATTGCAGAAAGTCATCAAAAAACTAAAAACAGACATTCCATTTGACCCAGTTATTTCCCATCTAGGTATCTTCTCAAAAGAGGTTAAAATCGTATTACAGAAATACATACATATCCATGTTTATAACAGCACAGTATAATAACTACATCTTGGAAGCAGCCTATATGTCCATTGACAGATGAATGGATAAAGAAAATGTGGTATTTACACATGAATAAAGTACTACTCTGTTATAAAAAATAATAAATTTGAGTTATTTTTAGAAAAATGGAAGCATCTTGAGACCATAACGTTAAGGGATATAAATTAACTATTGTAGATATATATGTGTGGTAAAAACCGTAGCATAGCCTTAACTTCTGAGACACATTATGTGAAATGTTTTTGTTAGACAATTTTGTTGTCCAAATATAGAATGAACACAGATTGAGGTGGCTGTTATGTCACAGAGTGATGTAATCATCTGAACCCACCATGGTATACACAGTCCATCGCTGGCTAGAAATGTCATTGTGTGGCACAAGATTGTATATTTAGGTCTAGTACTGTGTGCATGGTTTCTGAACTCCACTGAGGTCTTGGACATTTCCTCCATGGTTAGAGATGCATTTTCTTCTGATTTTTCTTCTGATTTTCCAGTTAAGTTTATAGAGTATCATTTGATAAATTTGATTCACCAATGTGTTAAAAAGATAGTTTTAATTACAGTTTTAGAAAGAAGTGAGTTTTCATGTTCTCTTGCTCTCTCAGTTTAATTAGACTATGCTCAAGAGTAGAATGGGATTGAACCTATTCATTGTAGATTTTGAAATCTCAGATTGATTCATTTAAAAAGATTAAGTATGGACAATTTCTTTTTTTTTTTTTTTTTTTTTTTTTTTTTTT